AGCATAACCAATATGGTGAAACATTTCTTGTCCAAGTCACCAGAGATGAGGCAGTTTCCTAGATTTGCAGTTGATTCTTCATTTAAAGGAAAAATACCTTGGTAAGGTTTTTTTCCCACCTTGGAAAATGTAGTAGTTTCTCTATATTCATCTCCAACAGGCTCAATGCATGCCTTCTAATATTGAGGACAGAGGGAAAATTGTCTTTGGTCCAAATATTTCTCCATACTCCCCAGATAATAGCTCCTGAATCTATACATGAACCAGATTCAGTTGTGCACCCAAATGTGAAGTATTTAGCATGTTGTTTTGTAGTTCACAGCTCACAGCATTCATTCATTATTTTTAGATGCCTATATTAAGGATAAGTATGCACAGAAAGGTATATTTTGGGAGAAAATCCATGCAAAATTATTGGCATGATGTTAGAGCATGATGCATGCCACTTGCAAAATATGTGCAGGCTATGAAAGGTGTATATTAGAAGAAATAGGCAAGAAATGTGTATGATATTCTTTGCAGACTTCCTCCCATCCCTGAATTCACAAACTAGTGCAGAAATGGGCCAAAGTGAATTCATGGTTGGAAAAATTAAAAAAAGAAAAATGAAACAGGATTAGAATTGATAGATTTGGTCATCTTTATTTATGATAAGATGCTGCATATTTCTGTATTTTCATCATCTTCTTCTGATGTAATACCACATGTCACTGTTGCAGATAATTGTCCCAAATTGACAGCAGGTTTGAGAAATATTTACATAAGATTTACAAAAGAAAATGATGGGACAGAATGTGCAATGAAGCCATTATTGATGATGATTATGATGAAGATAGCTAGATGATGATATATACATACAGTACATATACCCTGAAACTCCAACAATTGCTGGTTTTGATCTCTACAGACCCAAACAATATCTAAGACTTTATATAAAACTGTTTGTCTCAGAACTTCATTCGAGGTTCTTCATTAAATCCCTCATCTGTGAATGACGTGAATCCAGCACTTATGAAGAGAGGAGATTCTCCTCTTGTGGTGAGATGGTTCTGATGCTCCCTCCCCTGAAAGATCCACTTGGTATCATCACTGCTAGGATTTAAGCATCAGACATAGACTTTTTACCTTGTCTTTGCTGGATTCCTTGGTGTTCTAGCCTAGACTGTGTATTCCTCTCTTCCTTCTTTTTATCTCCATTGGTAAATTTATAGCTAGATTTTATTATTTGGGGATTTACAGAATTTTTACAGTGCATTATATTCGAAGCTGCTTTAAACAATTTGAAGTGGGCAGATGGAAAGAAGTGGCTTATATTAAAATGATGATGATTTGCATCTAGATTGCCAAACTCAGATATTTTCACATGTTTCAACCATGTAGCACTATGCAAATTATACTTTTTACAGAGGAATACTAAATGGGCTAGAGACTTAAATACTACTAGTTTGTATTAAGACTCTGTTAAATGGAGGAAAGGAATTTTATAAAATCCATTCCACAATTAACTTTTGCTAGCTTTTGCTCTCATCCTGGGGCGAGAAATTGTTGTTTCCTTTGTGCAGGCAACTTTGGAGGCCCACAGAGAATCTGCTGGCCTATTCAGTAAATCTGTTGGCCACAGAAAAGGGGAACATATTTTGTTTATGTTCTGCATTATATCAGCACTGTATTCAAGAAAAGGAATAGCAACTTTGATGCAGGCATTTTCATTTCTAAATATCTGCAGATCTGAAGTGAGGTGCCTTGGCTGAACCAAGCCCCTGGGGTCCAATCCTTTGTGAAATAATATCATATGTTCTAAAGAAGTAGAAGTTAGTGAGGAATGCTAAGCAACCACAACATGAAGTTCAATTGGTCAAATGGTGTCTGACTGCCCTTCACACACACATGTGTCCACACAAACAATACTGCACAAGCAAACAAAACAAATTGTGAATAAAAGCATAATTTGTTTAGAAAAACATAACAGGAGGAAACAATATTCCTATTATTGCACTGATCTGGATTGCAACATAAATGAAAAAACCAAGGCAACATATTTAAGTCACAAAGGGCTCGTTGCTTTTAGGTAATCATACTGGCATGTAAATTGTTTTCTTTTCTGGTGGGATAGAAAGAAAGACATGTGTTTAGGTCCTGTCTGTACAAACAGTGATTCAGATAATGCATGAACTTAACCACCATCCCTGGGTTGCCCTCATTATGTAAAACAAGATCATTTGTGGAAATTGAGTTAAATTGCTATTCTAGTTATTAGATCCTAATGCATACATATTTGGCATTGCTTTGTTCCATGCCCTATGTTACTATCTTTAGAGAATGTGATGTAATGTGGAAAAAACAAAACTAAATCTTTTTAGGCCTGTTTTTTTATTGATTTTACAATGGCTGCTCAATCAGATCCAATTTCCTGTTCAAATTTCTTCAAGCACTCATAAATCAAAATGATCAGAAAACAGCAAAGGTTTTCCTACTGTTTGCAGCACAGATGTGAACATAAACAGCAGGAGGTTGGGAAATTGCTACATACAAATCTCTGCTGTTCTTGCAAAGGGCTGGCTTTGAAACTAAATCACTATCTGATGAGAACATCTCAGCAGCCAGATTTGCTAACAACAAACAGTGAAGTTCCAGACTGCTAAAGGAAGAAAAAATCCCCTCCCACAATAGTATCATGCTAAGCAGGAAGGGAGATTAATCATGTACTCTGTTACTTTCACACGTAGGGACTGTGTGCAATCCATATTTCTTTAAACACCAAAATCCAAAAGCACAAGTTGCATGAAGAACAGATCTACAAGCAAATGTATGAAGGCTATTAAGAAGAGGCATAGAATTGTTCCCATGTCAAACAGCAGTTACTTGACCACCATTTTTCTGAAGCCGTCCAGAAAAAAGCGCCTTTCTGGAATTGTTGTTGTTGTTAGTCGCAAAGTTGTGTCCGACCCATTGCGACCCCATGGACAACACTCCTCCAGGCCTTCCTGTCCTCCACCATCTCCCAGAGTCCACCTAAGCTCACACCAACTGCCTCAGTGACTTCATCTACCCACCCCATCCTCTGCCGTCTCCTTCTTTTGCCATCTATTGTTCCCAGGATTAGACTCTTCTCCAGGGAGTCCTCCCTTCTCATTAGTTGGCCAAAGTATTTGAGTTTCATCTTCAGTATCTGGCCTTCTAAAAAGCAGTCAGGGTTGATCTCCTCTAGGACTGACTGATTTGATTGCCTTGCAGTCCAAGGAACTCGCAGGAGTCTCCTCCACCACCACAATTCAAAGGCCTCAATCCTTTTGCACTCAGCCTTCCTTATGGTCCAGCTTTCACAGTCATACATTGCAACTGGGAAAACCATAGCCTTGACTATACAAACTTTTGTTGGCAGGGTGATGTCTCTGCTTTTTAGTATGCTGTCTAAATTTGCCATAGCTTTCCTCCCCAGGAGCAAGCATCTTTTAATTTCTTGGCTGTAGTCCCCATCTGTGGTGATCTTGGAGTCCAGGAAAATGAAACCTGTCAATACCTCCATTTCTTCCCCATCTGTTGCCAGAAAGTGAGAGGACCGGATGCCATGATCTTTTCTTAAATGTTGAGTTTCAAGCCAACTTTTGCGCTCTCCTCCTTCACCCACATCAAGAGGCTCTTTAGTTCCTCTTCACTTTCTGCCATGAGAATGGTATCATCTGCATATCTGAGGTTGTTGATATTTCTCCCAGCAATCTTAGTTCTTCAGTGTAATCTCGCCACCTCTTCTTAATCTCTTCTGCCTCTGTTAGGTCCCTGCCATTTTGGTCCTTTATCATGCCCATCTTTGCATGAAATGTTCCCTTCATATCTTCAATTTTCTTGAAGAGATCTCTGGTCCTCTCTATTCTATTGTTTTCTTCTATTTCTTTGCACTGTTCATCTAAGAAGGCATTCTTATCTCTTCTAGCTGTTCTCTGGAATTCTGCATTCAATTGGGTGTATCTTTCTTTTTCTCCCTTGCCTTTTGCTTCCCTTCTTTCCTCAGCTATTTGTAAAGCCTCCTCAGACAGCCATTTTGCTTTCTTGCATTTCTTTTTCTTTGGGATGGTTTTAGTTGCTACCTCTTGTACAATGTTGTGAATCTCCATCCATAGTTCTTCAGGCACTCTGTCTATCAGATCTAATTCCTTAACTCTATTTGTCACTTCTACTGTATATTCATCAGGGATATGATTTAGGTAATACCTGAGTGGCCTAGTGCTTTTCCCTACTTTCTTCAGTTTAAGCCTAAATTTTGCAACAAGAAGCTCATGATCTGAGCCACAGTCAGCTCCTGGTCTAGTTTTTACTGACTGTATAGAGCTTCTCCATCTTTGGCTGCAGACATAGTCAATCTGATTTCTGTGTTGACCGTCTGGTGATGTCCATATGTACAGTCATCTCTTGGGTTGTTGGAAAAGAGTGTTTGCTATGACCATATTCTCTTGACAAAATTCTACCAGCCTGTGCCCTGCTTCATTTTGTACTCCAAGGCCAAACTTGCCTGTTATTCCGGTTATCTTTTGGCTTCCTGCTTTAGCATTCCAATCCCCCATGATGATAAGGACATCATTTTTGGGTGTTAATGCTAGAAGGTGTTGTAGGCCTTCATAGAACTGGTCAACTTCAGCCTCTTCAGCTCCAGTGGTTGGGGCATAGACGTGGACTACTGTGATGTTGAATGGTTTTCCTTGGATTCGAACTGCGATCATTCTGTCATTTTGGAGATTGTATCCCAGTACTGCTTTTCCTACTCTTTTATTGACTATGAAGGCTACTCCATTTCTTCTGAGGGATTCTTGCCTGCAGTAGTATACCTGATGGTCATCTGAATTAAATTCACCCATTCCTGTCCATTTTAGTTCACTGATTCCTAAGATGTCGATGTCCAGTCTTGTCATCTCTTGTTTGACCACATCCAGCTTGCCTTGATTCATGGATCTTACATTCCAGGTTCCTATGGAGTATTGATCTTTGCAGCATCAGACTTTCCTTTCACCACCAGATACATCAGCAACTGAGTGTCCTTTCAGCTTTGACCCAGTCGATTCATTCTTTCTGGCACTACTAGTACTAGCCCTCTGCTCTTCCCCTGTATTATATTGGACACCTTCAATGCATCAATGTCTACACTGGCAGACAACCCAACCCTTTTTTAGGCAACAGGTTCCCTTATCTGACTACTAGGTTTCTAATCTCCTGTTCACATTTAATGCCAGTCTCTGATCATATTCCTATTTAATGTGAATGAAACACAGCACTTGAGGTGAGATTTGACCAAAGCAGAGCAGAGTGCAAAAGTTATTTGATGTGATTTAGAAACTATATTTCTATTGATGAACCCTTTAGGTTCTTTTCTGCATTTTCCTTTTTCTTTTCTTTCCGTTCCATTCCGTTCCATTCCATTCCATTCCATTCCATTCCATTTGTTTTACTTTTTGGAGCCACATTACACTACTAGTTCATATACAGCTTGTGGTCAACTAAAAGATCCTTTTTATTTGTTCCATTGCAAACCAGGTGTTCCCATCTCTTATCTGTGCATTTGTTTTCACTTTCCTAAATGAAGTGCTTAGCACTTGTCTCCATTAAATTTCATTCTGTTATTTTCTGATGAGTTTTTCAACTCAATGGATTTTTTCCCACTAATCACATTGTTACATGAAACTTTGAATATAATGAGAAGGGAAAGATTTGAAAAAATAAATGAACATTCAAAACCTGCCCATTTTAAAACGGTATAACCATTACAAAAGCTTAGAATGGGAAAAATTACAGAATACACTCCTGATTTGACCATTCTAAACCTCCATGATTTGTAAAGGTCTTTCCCCCAGCAGCTTAGTTTCATTTAAATGAATGCATGTGCATGGCAGGAGCAACAGGAGTGGTGGGGGCAAAGGTGACACTCGGGGTGCATTTCACTCATTTCTGGTCCAAACAGAGGCCAAAGCAGTAAAGAACATCAACCCCCTTCCAGGGGTCCGGCAGAAGCACCAACACACCAAGTGAGTACCAGGCCATCTCCGGGAAAATTCTGTAAATTTGGCAGCATTCTCCAAAACTGCACATTCCGGGCCCTTTCGGCGCCCTGACCTGTAGGCCAGCATCACGGCTGGATTTTGGGCATTTTGGACAGATTTTGCTTGCCGTCTGCAGACACCCCTTCCAGGGGTCCGGCAGAAGCACGTATGTAAGACGGGCATGAGGGGCCCTCTCCGAGAAAACACTGTGAATTTGGAAGCGATCTAACAATCTACCCATTTCGGCCACGCTCGGTGCTCTTACCCGCACGTCAGTCTTGCGGGCCAATTTTGCGCATTGTGGAAAGATTTTGCTTGTCTTCTGCAGACAGCCCTTCCAGGGGTACAGCAGAAGCATCGATGGATGGAAGGCGTCAGAGGCCCTATCTGAGCAAACACTGTGAATTTGGAAGCATTCTGCCAACCCACCATTTCGGCCCCTTTCAGGGTCCTGACACGTGGGTAAGCATTGCGGCCCCATTTTGGGCTTTTGGACAGGTTTTGCTTGCCTTCCACAGACAGCCCTTCCAGGGGTCTGGAAGAAGTGCCAACACACAGAGGGCAACAGGGGCCCTCTCTGAGAAAACTTTGTGAATTGGAAGCATTCTGCCTACCCACCATTTCAACCTCTTTCGGGGTCCTGTCCCGTGGGTCAGTCTCTCAGGCCAATTTTGGGCATTTTGGACAGATTTTGCATGCCTTGCCAAGATACCCCTTCCAGGGGTTTGGTAGAAGCACTAACACAAGGAGGGCATCAGGGCCCTTTCCGAACAACCACTGTTAATTTGGAGGCATTCTGCCAACTCGCCTATTTTGGCCCCTTTCAGGGTTCTGACCAGCAGGACAGCCTCGTGGGCCGATTTTGGGCATTTTGGACAGGGTATGCTTGCCTTCCACAGACATCCCTTCCAGGGTTCCTGCAGTAGCGCCGACTCAAGACGGGAGTCAGGGGCCCTCTCCGAACAAACAGTGTGAATTTCAAAGCATTCTACTGATCTCCCATTTTGACCCCTTTCTGGGCCATGACTCGTGGGTAGGTGTCACAGCCTGATTTTGGGCCTTGTGGACAGATTTTGCTTGCCTTCTTCAGACACCCCTTCCAGTGGTCTGGCAGAAGGGATGATGCAAATGCTTACTAGAGGCCCTTTCCAAGCAAAAACTGTGTATTTGGAAGCATTCTTTCATTCTGCCATTTTCGGCCACTTTCAGGGTCAAGACCTGTGGGTGGGCGTTGCGGTCCAATTTTGGGAATTTGGACAGATTTTTCTTGCCTTCCCCCGACACCCCTTCCCGAGGTCCGGCAGAAGCACCGACACACCACTGATATCAGGGGCCCTCTCCGAGCAAACACTGAATTTGGAATCATTCTGCCAACCTGCCTATTTCGGCCCCTTTTGGGGCCGTCACCTGCTGTTGGGCCTTTTTTTTTTGACTTTGTAAACCTAAGGGACAGTTCCAAGAGTATAGAAAAACAACCTAATCAACCTTTGCTTTGGCTAGAATTTTCTCCCAAGGGGTTTCAGTCAGCATAAGAATAGCTTTTAGCTATCACCAGGCGCAATCAATTTGTGTTTTAATTCTTCCTGAGGCAATACAATTTGGGACAATCCAAATAGCTAGGGCAAGCCCATTGACCTTTTTCTGAATAACAATGGTTTGGCCTATTCGCTTTTTTAAAAAGTACCACCTGGTTTTCTCTGAATGAATTTTCATTCTGTTTCATTCTGCTGGAGGGTTTAGCTTAGGAAATGGTTTAGGCTTTAATATTAGATCGAGATGGTCTGAGCTGAATCTTGCTTTGTGCCTGCTTTGGGAGGTCTTTGTTTTGGGGTCGCTATGTCACCTGAGCCAGCTATTCCAGTGGAGGTTCTGGAGTAACTTTATCACCCATATATAAGTGCATATTCCAGGAAAGGGCCCAGAGAATAAATCATTTGCTCCCACTTTAGTGCTTCCATTCCTGGAAAGGTGTTGTTGTTGTTGTTGGTGGTGGTGTTTTGTTTTGTTTTGTTTTGTGGGGGTGGTATTCCTGCAAACCTCAGGGATCTATCAAGATAGTGATACTTTCCTCTTGTGTGGATGGTGCTATTTTGGCACTCATGCCTGAACATCAGCAGTGGAGGGAATAATGATCACATGTTCTAAACACGGATTTTCAGTTTATTCATTGGATAGCCGTTAGTAGAATTGTCTTCTATACGTGTTCCTAATTCATTTTTAAAGTTATCCAAGCTAGTGCTCATCATCAGATCTTGTGGCAAGAAATTTCATAAATCAGGTATGATAATATTTTAGAAGAAGTTGTAAGCATGTGTTTACAATTTTGTATTGAATGATATGGCACTTTGTATTTGTCTTGTCTTTTATTGTTTGTCTGTGTTTATTTTATTCTTTGTTTATTTTATGGATTGTTGTTAATCACCCAGAGAGTTTCAGCTATTCTGTTTCAATTTCTATAAATGAAATAAATCACCATCACCATCGCAGATGTAGAGATTCAGATAAATCCTGGTAGAAAAAGTTGCTTGTATGTGCCTATGTGTTATAAGATCAAACCTGCAGCAACTCTGTACCCTTTTCTGAGAAAGTACCAGAATTCCAAGAGAGTTTTCTGTTTAGTGTTATTTTTAAGCTGTTCCTTTAAGAGATGGCTATTACCTTTGCTTGGAAAAGCCTTTGCAGAATAGGGTTCCCAAGGTAATTCTTGGGCTAACAGCTAACTTAACTGATAAGGCAGCCAGACAAGTTTTTCTAGCAGTATTTCGATCAAGTTCATTTGCATGCCAAGACCCACAAAAATCCTTGTGGCTCAGTGATTATGTTATATTAATCTCTTGTAATCAAGGTTATTGTATTAAGTCTCCTCTGCAGATCTCTCATATTCTCTTTCACTGTGTTCTATAAAACACTCTGTGTATGTTCTATAGAGAATCTATAAAACACTCTGTGTATGTTCTAAAAGCTAGTAGTTGGCTGTGAGGACCACTACCAGGTAGCCCGCTGTCATAAGTAACTGCAGGGGGTCTGGACAATCTCACCAATAAAAATGCTGGGGTTCAAGGTGATTCAATCTTCCCTGTGGGTCTGAGTGTTCATTCCTGCCCTTGGTAAGGAGACTCTGACATGGCGATGAAGGCAGGACAAAGATTCTTGGCACCTTTATCCTGGGTGAGAAGGACAGTAAGATCAGCCAATTCTGCCTTTTTTGGGGTGGGGGGGGGCAAAACACTGGCCATCCTGATCATTTTGCAGGCAGGCAAACAGTAATAAATTGGGCCTTAGAATCTCATTGCACATGGGTTTATTTCAGACAGCCAGAGGCATAGGGGTTTTAGAGTCTCTGTTTCCCCCATGCTCACTGCCACATGAGGTGGTGGGGTGAGGTGGACATCCAGGGGTGATGCATAGTGTTAGGGTGTTCATTTCCACCATTGGTAAGGAGACTCTGACACAGACCAGAGGTTTCTCTGAAGCTTTTCATGGTATTGACTAATCTTTGTTCATTTCTGTGCTGGTTCAGTTTCACCCTGCCAGAATTCCAGTTGGGTTTCAGCAGATGTGGCAGGTCAAATTATTCCAGAGCTTGTCTCCACTGGCAACTAGTATCCCCTTGAATGTGGATGCCTGGAATTCATAAATGTTGGAACTACAAGGAAACATTAAGGGGTTTTGCTTTTGTTTTGCACCAGAGCTGTCTCCTAATGTGTGTTTTAATTAAAAGTCTAGCCTTGTTAAGTAGGTACTTGAAAAGTGAATCAAATGATGTAATTATAATGAACATGAAATGCATCTCCTTCTGAAAATAATTATCAACATATTTGTGATAAGGTGCTGTTGTAGTAGTTTTTAGAGTGTTGTAAACAGTAAAAAAGGGAAAATGAATCAAAGTGAAGTGTGTCCGAGAAAGCAAAAGTGGTTGGGGTTGGGTGAATTTAATCTGTCAGCCTCATATTTTCAGCACACCTCGGGGAAATTATTTCAAAAATATGACAGCTTATAATAGTGCAAATTATATTTAACAAAATTGTAAGCCAATTGAGCAGAAAAAGTTAGTCAAGGTATTTCGCATTGGGTATGTATTTTCAAT